CCCCCCCCTCCGTCACCTCCATCTAAACTTGTAAGACACTTCTATTATGTTTAATATTTAGACTTTAAATTTGTCAACAATGGAAAGGCATTAGATTTCCCCTGAAATCAATAGAACATTTCGCAATCAGCTGAAAACACAAACGATCAAGGCGTTTACACGTGTGCATACGCAATGCATCAGAAAGTATTCAGATCATTTTTGTAAACTTGATTTCCAACGACTTGTCGGTAGCTCAGAAACTCAATACAGAATAAGTAGTCAGATGAATTGTTTACTGTTTTGGAGAAATCGCACACTTTAGGTGTTCAAAAAATTAACAATTAACCTTGTCCTCTTACACATACTGTCTGGAACAACAACATAATATGATACCTCGCAGAAATTCCTTTTTTTAAACTTTCTGTGAGACACTGTTATACAAAAATTTGAAAAATTTCTTACAACCACTGAGCAAATAGTAAATTAATTCAGCTATTGTCTAACGTTGTTGTGTCTCGACTTAGAAGAGCGGGTTCATTTCATGTTTCGGACTTCTTGCCTTTGTAAATTGACCTCGAAATATAATCTGCAGTTACCTTCTACAACATTACAAAGATTGCTATCAATGCCTTTGTTGGGATTGAATTCACCAGTCAGACTTGTTCGTTGTCACAAGAGAGAAATTTTCCAACCGCTGTTGATGGAATTTGACATCAATACCAGGGACAAAAAGATTACTCGGCGCTCTGTTGTTGCTATTTGTTCTTTGTTGCCTCTATGTATAAGGATAATATCAGTTGAGAAAAAAAAACGAGCGTTTATGTCTCACAATTTCAAGTTCTTACAATCAACTTCGCTAGTAGAACATGTTTAACCAAACAGACCTTTAAAGTTAGAAATATAAGACTAGTTTTGTAAAACAAGTCCGTTCGAGATCTTAAGATGTAAATCATCCTACTATAAGGGATGATAACTGGCTTAGGCGTGCAGCTTAATCTATTGCAAACATTAAATATAAATATCAAAATCTATGTGTCTATTCGTGAATGGTTTGTTTGTCTTCAAAATTGTGCCCTTCAAGCAAAATATGCGTAACTTTAAAAAATAATTATTTTCTTTTTCTTTTCAATTGTTTTCGATTATCTGGATGGCGGCGAGAGTGCTGTATGGCTAGATATATCTATTGCTACCAGAGTTTTAAGTTTTAAATCCTCGTTTTGCTAATGTCTGTGCTCTGAAGCATTTTGCGTTGACAAAGAAAACGGATTAAGATAAGCTCATCAATTCTCAAAACACCCGTATTTAAACGTGTGTTTTTTTTTACTAAGTTGGCGTTGATGAGATTATCTTCACAAAAAGAAACGGAATTAGGAGGAGGGGGGTGGGAGGGGTCTCGAAGTGCTCTACTAGATTTACTCGTCGCATATCTAAACAAATTTGTTTGAAAACTTTTTCTTGTGATTCATGTGTTGGTCACGCAGCTACCTCTCTGCAGTTACAGTGTTGTAATCTTGTGAAATATTTCAAACCAAAAAAAACCCTTTGTCCTCTATGTCCCTTTCGTAATGTAGGGGGGTGACTTGCCTATTAAGCTGTTTGCCCAGTAAACCACAGTCCTCTTGGGGATTTTATACACCTTTCAGGACGACGCGGAAGACCTACTATTATTATGAAGGCAGTTTTTTTTTTTTTTCCAAATGTTAAAGTAACAATACGCTACTTGTTCGGAGTCTCTCATATCTTGCCAAGCATCTCCAAGCATACTTCTACAGTGATGAAAGGTACAGAGTGTTCTTCAAAGAAATGCCAAATACACCTAAGCCAGTAATGAAACAGTATGTATAGATTCTTTGAAAAATGAGGAGATGCTAAAGCCTTTGTAATAAAAAGCTAATGGGCAAATGCCGGTGTAGACTGTCCAATTCCACTATTTTTGTTGATTTTGTTTGTTTGTTTGTTTGTTTTTTCATTTATGTTTGGTAATTTTTTTTGTCTCCTCAGACCTGGATGCTCTTAGATGTTGCACTCCCAGCCGTTTCTTTATTGGCTTTGTTGCTGCTCAATGTGGACAGGGTGCTCTTCACGTACAGGTAACAGATAGCGTGGGTTTACCAGAATGTCCATCACACATCAGCCTTCCTTTCCATCAGCCTGTTGATTATTGTTGAGTCTGTCGGAGTCTGCCTGCTCTCATGCATTATTTTGTATCAGATTATCTGTCTGTCTGTCTGTCTGTCTGTCTGTCTGTCTGTCTGTCTGTCTGTCTGTCTGTATGTATGTATGTATGTCTGTATGTCTGTCTGTCTGTCTGTCTGTCTGTATGTATGTATGTATGTATGTATGTATGTATGTATGTATGTGTGTGTGTGTGTGTGTATGTATGTATGTATGTATGTGTGTTTGTATGCACATGAGTATGTGTGGTGTCTATGCGAGTGTATTTGTGTGTATGTAGCGTGTGTGTGTGTGTGTGTGTGTGTGTGTGTGTGTGTGTGTGTGTGTCTGTGTATGTATGTGT